AAAGATGACCGGTAAGGGGATCTTAACCCTTGACTTGGTGTTGTCAGCACCACGCTCACCCAGTGAGCAACCGGCCATCCCTATATGGGATCCGAACCCGTGGCCTTGGTGTTATCAGCACCACACTCTCCCGAGTGAGCCACAGGCCGGCCCTGAAGCATTTTTTTTAATAATGGAATAAACCACTCAGGATATGAATTTTAAATATTCTGTCAATAGCCTATATTATGTTATTGAAAGGAGCAAATGGCTAAAACACTAGAACTTTGCTTTTAGGAACTAACAAACATCAGAATAACCATTTTTCAGCCACTGACAAAAAGTAGTAGTAATTTTTAAATGCGGACTCATATAAAGAGACTTTATGTTATTTACTTAAAATATGCTGGGGTAGAATTAACATTAAACTCATAATCTTTTGATGTCCATTCTATTACTTTATAGTAGTGGTTCTCAAACTTTTTTGTCTAAGGGACCCTTTATACTCTTAAAAGCTATTCATGATGGTAATTTTTGTTTGGCTATTGATATTTGCCAAATTAGAAATTAAAACAAATTTAAATGTTTATTGATTCACTTAATAGTAAACTCATTACATGTTAACGTAAATAGCATGCTTTAATGAAAAATTAATATTTTCCAAAACAAAAATCGCGAGAAAAGAATTGTACATTTTTGCAAATCTCTGTGACCTGGCTTAATAGAAGACAGCTAGTTTCTCATGTCTTCTTCCTCATTAAATCTTATTTGATGTCAAGTGGTGTGTATCCTGTGGAAAATGCTGAGAAACTGTAGTTTCTCTGATGTCTTTACCTTAAGAAAATAAACACACATTAAAGAAGCTAATTTTTCTCCTTGGGTAGTTGTTTAACACTCTTAGAGTTTGCAGAGCAGAAATCCCATTTTCTATTTCTGGGACTACAAAGTGTTGAGTCCTCAGGGTGAAGGGTGGAGTATATGATGGAAAGATCTCTAGGTTGGGATATGGTGGCCCAGCTGGGAATACAGCAACATGCCCTAAACAGCCTGTGACTCCAGGATCACTCCAGTTCTCTGCATCTTCTGTCTATGAGTTTGATATTTAAGATCCCTTCGATCTTTAGGCATCCATGACTCTAACAGAAGTTAGAATGTTGACATAGTTTTAGATGGTCTGAGAATATTTGGATTTTTTAATTCTCAGGTTTTGTTCTACTATGTTTTTTTTTTTTTTTTTGGCGGCTGGCCAGTAGTGGGATCTGAACCCTTGACCTTGGTGTTACAACACTGGGCCCTAACCAACTGAGCTAACTGGCCAGCCTTAATTCTCAGGTTTTCTATGTTGTTTGTTTTTTGCTTTCTGGATGAAAGAGACTTTAAGGATGAATGATGTATCTTAAAGTTACACCTAGAAACATAAACTTGATCTGCCACAGAATTTTGGTCCTTTGGATTAATAATAGAGAAACCAAAGAAAATACTAGTTATGAGACTTAGAATTTTAAGTGATATGACGTGGTTGTGTTTGCTGATAGAGTTTTCTTTAGTGTGGGTGAAAGCAATCGATTTTTCAGTCCCTCTTCATGCTCCTCAAAGGCAAACAGATCGGCCTTTTGGATTATACATTCCCTGTTCTTTAGTTGCAGATAAATGTTTTTGCATCCATTGTTAGGTTATCAAGAAAATTGGACATTATCTCAAGATGAATATAACAGTACCAGAAGATTACATCAAAGGATTTATTCGAGCCAACAATACCTTCCTTTATCAGCTAGTTTTTGATCCCATCAGAAGGAAACTTGTCCCTCTGAATGCCTACGAAGATGACGTTGATCCTGAAACACTAAGTTACGCTGGGCAGTATCCTTTTTGAACCATAATGGTAGACTTTTATGCTTCTTTCTTCAATATTATGGTCATATTTTTTCTGAGACATTCAATAAAAAGCTTGCAAATTGTTTTTTTTTTTTTTTTTTGCTTTCTTTTCACAGTAGAAACTATATTTTGTTCATTTTAATTACCATGGTAGTAAAAATTTTACAACAACTTTTTGTTTATAAATCTGAGACTCATTCACAATAGCATGCTAATTACTTAGATTGACTTGATAGGAACATGCACAGGGTCTGTCACTTATAGTACACATTCCAAAGGTGGCACTTGAGAGAACCCCTGGAGGCAAGGAAGACTGATTTATCAGGAGGACAATTCTGCACATGTGAATGCACCAGGAGAGGGTGCTTTCCCACAGCCACTGGCCACACGCACTCAGGCTGATGTGGCGCACTTAGTCACTTAGGTGGTGGCCGTGACTTTTCCCTTCATCTCTCTTAAAAGGGAAGGAGTAAGTGATCACTTGGGGCTTTGCTTCAGAAGACAGGCAGCTCCTGCAGGGACAAAAGACACTAGCAAACTATGTCTGTGGTCTCAGTAATGCTCACATGGAAAGTAAGTAAGATCCGTTAAGATTACCCATGATAATAGAAAACATCTTTCTATCTTAGTACAGCATATTATTTGATTGGTTGTCAATAAAGGCATTTTTCCTTAATCTTACCAACCTAGGTATGTTGATGATTCTATAGCTCTTCAAATAGCACTTGGAAATAAAGACATAAATACTTTTGAACAGATCGATGACTACAATCCAGACACTGCTACGGTAACGTCTCAATGACTGCTGTATAAAAGCATGTTTTAGTTATGTCTTGAACTGTGATTAAAAGCAGGTTTTCATTTACTAAACATCTTTTAAGCATTTTTATATCCAGGCCCTGTGCAGAGTGTGCACTGAAAACAACTTGATTATAGAGAAAATTTTATATCTCTGAGAACATAAGGTATATGGTTAATTTTTTTTAACTGAGAAGTGACCGCATTGTATATTATCAGACCTTTAGACCTGAGCATTTCGTTTGAATATACCAAGAACTTGATACCCTCTTTCCTTATCCTCACCTCATTCAGCCTCTGTGGCAGGTGGCATTTGGCATTGTTGAGGACCCAAACCTAGAAACACTACTCTCAGGAAAAAAAGCTGTTTTCTTCACTCATTCACAATTTAAATCAGCAAATATTTAATGTGCACCTCTGCTGTGTGTCTTTGAACCCTTTACTGTTTGTTTCTACTTTTTCCCAGTTGTATATATTCCTTAAGATTCTGTCTCCCAACATTCTTGGCTTTCTCTTCATTTTTCTACTCATGCTCTGTTTTCTGTTCATATTTATTCCTTAGATAAGTTCTTAGGACTTTAATGATTTCATTGATGCAGAGAGTTTGCATGTCTACATCTTTACCCCAATCTCTCACCTGTGCACCAACCATAGAATTTCCAACATCCTTTGGGTCTCTACATAAATGATTTCACTATAACTTGAAATTTATTCATAGTCAAAACTAAACTCTTCATTGTTTATCAGCTTTCCTTAATAACATTTCTCTTTTCTTTTTCTTTTCATCTCTAATTACTACATAACATTATTTCTCTTTGTTGTTTATTTCCTGATTCTTCCCAGTCGAGTGCAGTCTTCATAAAGGCAGGATCTTGTGATCTTGACTGCTGTATCATATTTACCGCTTTTAATTGTTGAATGAATGATTATCAGTTACGTGATGCCATTCATTCTCTCAGACTAGAAAACTTGGAAGTAAACTTTGGATTCCCTTTCATTGCTAATTCCTCTTCCTTCTTTTAGTTATCTTTCTAGTTGATGTGTTCTTCTTTCTCATAGCTGCCACTCTAATCCAGCTCTTTTTACCTTTGTTCACTAATTTAGTCCTTTACTTAGCGTTTATTAAGCACTATAATCTAAATAGTTAGGTTAGCTAGGGTGCTGGAATATAAAGAAAAATAAATACAATCCTTGGCTGTAAGGTAAGGTGCTCGTTGCCTAGAGCAGGGAGATGTGGTGATAGAAAAATGTGGTAAGTGCTTTAATAGAGATGTATTCTAGCCTCCTCAGAAACAAAACATACACCCAACTCTACCTAAGGAAAGAATGCTTCATAATAATAATAGCAAACATTTTTTGAGCATTTCCTATGTTCCATGTGCTATTCTGCTTATAAGTACCTTACATGCAGTAACTCATTTACTCTTCAATAAGGCTCTGAAGTCAGTATTTATCATTCTCTTTTTGCAGATGAGGAAACAACTAGAGGGAGGTTAGGTAACTTGCCCAGGTCACACATTTAATAAATGGGAGAGCTATGATTTCAAACCAAGCTCTTCACTCTCTGCTCAAAGAGAAACTGGTGTGTGTCCTTGGTCTGCAAGGATTTAGTAGGGGTTTTTCAGACTGGTGAGTGATTCCAGGCTGAGGAAAACATTATATACAGAAGAGGATAACATGTTAAGGGAACTATGAAATTGTTCATTATGGCCAGACCAAGAATGTCTTAATGTTTAATATATAAAAGAGTCAGAGCTTCTTGAGAAAGAAAAAGAAGTGAGCCTGTAGAAGGTGACCACTGACAAACTGGGGACCATTAGAACATTGAAAAGTAATCATTTCTGCCACCTGAAATAAGCCAAGCCACCAAGAGAGCATGAGTCCATAATGGTACTAAAAAAAGAACTTAATATCCATCAACTCCAGTCACATAGCCCTTACACTCAGGCTGCTATTTCCTTATTTTACTTCTACCCTGGCACTATCCAGTATGGTAGCCACTAGCCGTATGTAGCTATTTAAATTCATTAAAATTTAATACAACTACTATTTATTTTTTCAGTTGTATTAGCCACCTTTCAAATGGTTAGTGGCTGCAATATTAGCTCAGAACATTTCTATCATTGCAGGAAATTCTATTGAATTTCTCGTATCTAAGGGCTCTTTTTTTTCCTCCAAAAAAAAGATGACCGGTAAGGGGATCTTAACTCTTGACTTGGTGATGTCAACACCACGCTCACCCAGTGAGCAAACCGGCCATCCCTATATGGGATCTGAACCCGTGGCCTTGGTGTTATCAGCACCGCACTCTCCCGAGTGAGCCATGGGCCGGCCTCTAAGGGCTCTTTTTTTAATTGTACTTTTTTTTGAAGATTTTGTTTCATGGATGCAATCTCTTATCTCTGAGAAAATTATAATTTCTCGGACATTGTTTTCTGCTCTCTGCATTGTCTCTGTTTGTTCTGAATTTGTTTTTTCTGTTTGTTTTGGTCTTTTTTCTTCCACGGTGGAGACTTTGTACTGTCCATTTGTTTGTATTTGAGAGAGGCACTGCAAAGCTCTTTGGAAGCTTTGTGTGAAGGAATGGCGTTTATCATCTTGGAGTTTACTCTTGGGCGATCTGGCTGCTATCAAGCTGCCTTTGCTTTGTGAATTCTCCAACATCAGAGTATTTTCTCTGCACAGGTACTTTTTTCCAAATAGTAACCCTCCATAGGTTATATGAACTTGGCTGTCTGCGTTTTGACAGCAGGATAGAGAAAGTGAGTTGGGGCAGGCTGGGAAGGGATAGGGTGATTCCTTACAACTCAGTATTTAGCCTTTCATTTAATCTCTGTTTTCAGACAAATTGATCTCTCGATCTTCTGAAATGCCTTCTGTTTCTGTATTACTGTTTCTGGGTTTTGAAACTCTACTTGCTCTGGTTCTGAAGTGGGGTGGATGTTACTTGACTGCATGGTCAGGTTGAACATGGGAACCCAGGGGCCAATTAAATCCACTTCTAACCTTCCCTCCACATCTGGCCTCCATGGTACCTGGTGCCTTAAATTCCTGGGCCTTTCTTCAGGTTTCTGTGGTGAAATTGGCTTCTCATTGGTATTCTCTTCTGCAGACACTTGGGTTTGATTTCTCTTATGCTGAGTCTTAAATTCTTCCATCTATACTCACTATGGTTTGGAAATTACAGATATCTCCTAATTTTATTAAAATCAAGTTTGTGTTTATTTCTTGTTCTTAAAGTTTTGTTGTTTCGGGAGTGATTGAAAGGAGAAGACTGAGACACTCTGCTATCTTCTTACATATTTGAATTATTGATGTTATTAGAATTTCATAAGGAATGATTCTTAAGCTTTTCCTTTGCCTCAGAAACTCACAAATAGTTGGCTGTATTGCATATGTCTAATTATGAATGAAATGTTATGGATTGGTAACGTGGCCACTCTTTATAAGCCCATATTCCTGTCAGATCTTTCTCTTTTTTTATTTAGAATTTCATAAGGAATGATTCTTAAGCTTTTCCTTTGCCTCAGAAACTCACAAATAGTTCGCTGTATTGCATATGTCTAATTATGAATGGAAATGTTATGGATTGGTAACGTGGCCACTCTTTATAAGCCCATATTCCTGTCAGATCTTTCTCCTTTTTAAAGAGAAATTTCTTTAGGAGCCATTAATTGTACACCAAACTAATTAATTTTTATTTATCTAAAATTTATTCTTCCCAGTCTGGTTTTCTACTTTCCTATTTCTCCTTTTTAAAGAGAAATTTCTTTAGGAGCCATTAATTGTACACCAAACTAATTAATTTTTATTTATCTAAAATTTATTCTTCCCAGTCTGGTTTTCTACTTTCCTATTTCTCCTTTTTAAATAAAATCATTAATGGGATTTAATGCCGTGGGCTATACTGCTAAAACTATTTTTTTATACTCATTCCCTCAGTTAAATTACCTTCCTTGTTAATTCTCAAAGGGCATCCTGAATAATGTCATCTTGCTTTACTTTTATTTTTACCCTTTTGTTAAGTGAAAGACTTAGATTAGATGCCAAGTTTATGTGGGGGCTTCGTTAGGTAGAATTTATGCCCCGAGTAATGCCATTTTCTGTGTCTTTGTCAATTTTTTTCACTTTGGCTATTCTGTGTTAGAATGCCATTGCATCCTCTTAGCAGATTGTTGTCTTCCAAAATATGTTGTAATTGTGAGTAACTTATATTAGCGTTAAAAGTGATTGCTTACCAGTTCTAACTGGTGTTAAGCCCTTTCTCAGAGAAAGTTTTATGAACTACTCAATGTAGGCCAAAGTAGCTTTATTTTTATGTTTTGTCTACTAAATATGGTACCAGGTATGGGTCTAAAAGAAACTAGTATTTTATAACTTAGATTGTTTTGGTTTGAACTCAACCAGTTTCTAGAGTTAAGACAGTTGATCACTTTGAATACATAATTTTATGCTTTTAACTTTCAGGTGCATTTTAAAGGGTATAAATCCATATTTAGAGGCATATTGCCAGATAACTACTAAACTAATTAATATTGTGTATTGAAGTGATTCTCAGATTTTAAAGGTGCTTTTCTCTGGCCACATTTCTTCAGTCGTAATCTCATTTCTTGCACTGTTCATCTTAGGAAGATTTATTTTTTTTATTTCTTAGAAATGAGCTAACAACCTAGGAGTACAAGACACATTTAATGGAAAAATATAGGATTGGCAAAATAGAGAATATTATTAGAAGACAGTTCATCAAAAGCTATTCTTTGTAAGGGTAGTTTAATATATTTATTTAGAGTTTATGTTTATACAGAAGGAAATTGTTATTTTCCTTCTTCAAGTAATCTTTTTCCTTTTCCTTTTACAGCCTGCCCGGTCAAGAAGTCATAGTTGGAATGACAAAACATGTCAAAAGTCACCTAATGCTAACAGCATTTGGCACAGGAATTACTGCCCTAGACGTGAGTTAGATATTGTTTCAGATGCTGCACAACTGAAGGAAAATCCCAAAACTGTGGGCACTGAACAAGTGATTAGTACTAAAGGGTTAAATCTTGCAAGGAAGTTATCCGTTGTGAAAAGACCAAGAAGTGGTATGTATTTCATTTTTGCAAAATACTAGTGAGGATTGGGTAGTATTTAAGAAATCTTGGCCAAACCCAAGGTCACTAAGATTTTTCTCCTGTTTTTGTCTAACAGTTTTATAGTTTTAGCTCTTACATTTAGGTTTATGATCTGTTTGACTTAATTTTGTTATATGATGTGAGGTAAGGATCAAGTTTCTTTACCGTGCATGTGGCAGTTTAGTTGTTCCAGTACCTTTTATTAAAAAGTTTTTCTTTCCCCATTTAGTTGCCTTGGCAAATTTGATGAAATTAATTGACCATATATATGTGGGTGTTTTTCTGAACTATATTATTCTGTTCATTGCTGCCTTTACCAATCTTTACATCAAACACTGTTGATTACTGTAGCTTTATAGTAAATCTTGAAATAGATAGTATAAGTCCCTTAAGTTCCTCTTTTGAAAAGTTATTTTGGCTATTCTGTGTTTTTCACATTTTCATATAAATTTTAGAATTCACCTGTCCTTTTTTTTAAAAAAAGGCTGTTGGGATTTAGTTGATCAATTGGGGGAGAGTTGACATCCTAACAATATTGAGTTTTCTGATCCATTTATTTAAGTCTTCAATGGCTTAAATGTAGTTTTTTTTTTTTTTTTAATCGAGTTTTCTGATCCATTTATTTAAGTCTTCAATGGCTTAAATGTAGTTTTTTTTTTTTTTTTTTATCTTTATTTTGTCAATATACAATGTATATGATTATTATGGCCCATCACCGACACCTCCCG